GGGGCCGGGCTGCTGATGGAGCTGGGAGGAGGGAGCACCTGGGCGTGGTGGCCCCTCGATTCTTCCTGGCCTGCCTTCTCCCCTGGGAGCATCTGGGGGTGGACAGGAGTGGGAACAGGTCCCTGTGCATGTGTCCTTCTGCTTGCTGGAGGGGTGTCCTCACCTGACCTTAACAGGCCCCACAAAGCAGAAGCAGGAAGGTCTCTGCTCAGAGCACAGGACCTAAACCGGTGAATTGCGTACCACATACAACTCACAGGTCCATTTTCTTTGGGCTGTGCTATTTTTTATTTTTATTTTTTATTTGAATTGGGAGATACCACAGTAAAAGAAGACCTGTGGCTTGTCAAATTCAGGAGCGCTCTATGCCTGTGTGGCTACAATCGGCTCATTCTGGCAGTGTCCACCCCTCTCTGACAGGGCATACAGGCTCCCATTTGCCACAGTCCCCACCGCTCCTCATTGTCCCCGACTCTGGGGCTCTGAGTGACTTGGCATTTACTATCATATTTGCACTACTCTCTTCCTTATAGTAGACTCATTTTTCTCTTTCCTTGTTTCTCTCCAAAGAGGGAGGGCCAAAGACATCTAGAGGACATTTCAGGAAAAAACGTTTTCCGCTTTGCTCGATTATGTTCTATTTTTGCCTCTCTAACCCAGAAAATGAACAATGAACGATATCTTGTTTGAGGACTGGATTCTAAGCTTTCGTTGCTGCCCAGAATGGAAGCCCTTCCTTCGGACTCCCCTGAACCAACCGAATGCGGGTGCACGTTTAATCACAAAACCCTTCCTGTTCTTTCTTAATCTGTTCATTTTTAATTGAAAGCCACCCAAATTACCAATAGCTGATGGTCACCTTCCCCCAATTCTCACAGGCCCTTCCTCCAGTGTCTGTCCCTCACCTCTCCTGTCTGTCCTCTCCAGCTGTCCCCAGCACCCACGTGGCAGCTGGACCCGGGAGGAAGACCCTCGAGTGATGTGTGGCTGGTGTAGGAGAGGGGGGGAGGAGGTGGGGAGAGGGCGCAGTGAGAGAACACAAAGCCTAGGGGTGCAGAATGGGGGCTTTGCTAAAGTGCTCTCACCCCCAGAGGCCCCAAGGTTGACCAGTGATGGTCTCTTCAAATGAGATCACCCATTCAGTTAGAGAGGTTTGGACCAGACAGGAAAAATGAGAACTCCCGTTTTACACCCGGGTGAGCCACGCAATAGTGGACTATGAATTCAAGGTTTTTAAGAATAAATCAAGTCATTAAATTGTGAACAGTACAGTGCGAGTGTGTGAGTGTGAGAGTGTGTGTGCGAGTCTGTGTGTGTGTGAGTCTGTGTGAGTCTGTATGTGAGTGTGTGTCTCTCACAGGTTGGAAAACCTGTCTGGGCAATGCTACTTTTTCTTTTATGATACTGAGGGCTCCAGAACTGGAAGTGCCCCAGGCCTCCCGTATGCTCTGGGAGACCCCAAGTCCCTGCCTCCTCCTGCATGGCAGCCTGTGCTGGGATGAGAGAAGGCCCCTGGGCTAACCGAGACTGACTCCTGCAGAGAGGAGCTTTACCTGCGCAGTCAGCACTGGTGTCCTGAGGACCAGAGGGAGAAGAGGAGGGGTCAGAGGCACGGGACTCAGAGGATGTTGCCTGGGTTCCTCTGCCTGCCACCTGTTTGACTTGCCTTGTCCCACCTGCCTTGAGCCCTCCTCTCCAACTGCCCCATTCAACTGCCGCTCCCACCACGCCTGGGGAGGGAACGCTGGGGGCCCAACATTCCTTCTGCCCACATTAAAGGGCACTACCCCCCAGGAGGGCCATGGCCTGGTCAGCAACGTCAGAGCTCCTGCTCTATGCTGGCACAGTCACCCTCCCCAGCCTGTCACTCACAGCTTTCTGTAAGAGGAGGAAAACTCCCGGCCCCATCCTATACATGAGGTGACCAGGGAACAGAAGGCTTTCCTGGCAGGCTTCGGGCAAGACTGACCAGCAGCTGGGTCCTGCCTCACCCTGGGCCTGCCTCCCAGCAGGATGCTTCTCCCACTGTGTTCCTGCAACGCGGAGGCAATTCAGAGGTCAGGGATGGGAGGGGAATCCAATCTTCAAACAGACTCCTTCATGCATTCCCCATTCATTGAACCAAAAATAAACCACAATTTGAGCTCAATTTTTTTTTTAATTAAAGGAAAGTCTGGGACTGGTACTAACACCTAACACTTGAATATAAAATGGTCCTGTTTGTTGCATTTTGAGCTTTCCACACTCTGGAGCACGGGTCTTTTCCAATTTCCCAAGCCCCTCTAAGTGCCTGGCATGGTGCTTGGCTCAGAACAGGTGCCCAGTCTCGGAGCTGGCTGAAGGGTTCCACAGTGGCCAATGGTTGGAAAGGAGCAAAATCTCTAGGTTCAGATATAACAAACCTTGATTTATTTTTAAAAATAATTTAGACACGTTAGAAGACCCTTTTTACCTAACTCACGTGGATTTTATGACAAATTTGCTGTAGCGTTTTAAGCCTTCCTGAGTCCTCTCTCTACTCATACCCTGGTGGCTACCTCCCTCTGCCGGCCGTTTCTGGGAGGTAACTCGCAGAGGAGGGGCCCTCACCCAAGAGGATGCTTCTCTTCCCGCCCAAAGGGGAGAAGGGAAACGGGGAGGCCTATGGACAGTGTCAGTGCGGAAAACAGATCCGGAAAGGAAGGTCCATAGATCTCTTTGTTATTCCAGTGTGTTCTCAGAATAGTGTTTCTAATGCATAAAAAACAGGGTTATCAAAATATGCATTAAAAAACAAAATTGGATATTGTAGCACATGCTTCTACATTGACGTACTAGTAACATGATCTGGCAGTGAGTCTAAAACCAGTCTAATTTCAAAGCAGCGGTGCACAGAAATGATGCTTTGGGAAATCTGACACAATTGAAATGAGATTTGAAAGCGCCTATGACTTCATTTGTGACCAAGTCACAAGTACTGCCAGTGCCGGCACGGTTCGCTGCCTCGTTCCTGGTGAGTGGAAACGCCACCCAAGCTCGTGGCTCCCCTGAGCCCGGCTGAGGAGTCCGTGGACCACAACCTCAGGACATCTGGACCCATGATCTCTGAAGTTACTTCTGACTCCAACTCAGCTGGATTCCACAGAATTGTTTAAATGAGACAGGGACAGTCTAGGGGATACTTAGGATAATGGAGTAAAACTTTACTATCTTAACAGCTGGCACCAGACTGTGTCCAAGAGTGAAATTGTTGCTTGGAGTGGGGCCTCGGTGTGCCTCTTGGGGTGGACAATGGGACCCCCATGGCTTGCTGGGTAAGAAAAGGCATTCAAAGCGAGAATTGAACTGCCGTGCGGACACTGGTCCAGGAACAGGAGGTGGGGGCAGGGAGAACCCCGAGGATCACAGCATAGGGCACCCAGGAAATCAGAGCCCAAGAGGGTGGAAATGGAGAGACTCTTTAAGGAGATGGGAGCTAGATATTCAAGTGGAAGTTGTTGAGATACTGGGGTAGAAACCCCTCCTTTAGCCCAGCACTTCATTGACATGTACAAAGGAAACAAGGCAGTTCTCCCTCTGGGTCAATGAGATGGAGAGATGCCCAGCTTTACGGCTTAGGGAGATACTCAGGGGATCAGAACCGAGAGAGGTCATAAAGATAAAAGTGCCCCAAGAATATGGGATACACAGTGCATGCCATTAGAATGGGGGTTGGACCCCTCCTCTCTAGGTCATATGCGACAGAACCAACCTCTGGGCCCTGAGAGTGTGGTCCCAGATCAGCAGCACCAGCAACATCTGGGAGGTTGTTAGAAAGACAAATTCTTGAGCCCCATCCCAGATCTATTGTGTCCGGAAGTATGGGGTGGGGCCCAGCAAGCTGTTTTTACCCCTGCGGGCCATCCTGACACCAGCCAGGTGTGATGACCCTGCCGTGGGCCCTGTATGTTCATAATGGCATAACCCAGGCTCACATCTCCCGTGGAAGTCATGCAACCCAACTTCCCACCATGAGGGCTCCCTGATACCACTAGGCCTTGCAGGACTACTCCTGGGGTCTGGGGATACCAACCCTGCCCCACAGCCCACACAGGGGGCAGTTTTTGGAGTGCACTAAGGCTCCCAGCCATGGGGAGCTCCCTGCCCCCCAAGACAGCCCCTCCCTGGTGGGACCTTTCCTGTGATCTGCTTGTCGGTGCCTCCTGGGTCTGGGGCAGCCCTGGAGCCACTTCTCAAAGTCCTTCAGGTAAAGGAAGACTGACATTGAGCCCTTCCCTCTTCCTGCCGGGCCCCTCTCACGACTGATTTTCAGGCCCCCTACTGGTTGTCCTTCGAAGACCCATTTACCAGTGTTTCTCTTAAAATAGAGTGTCTGGAGCTAGAGGCAGAGGGCAGGGCAGAGGCAGTGGGAATATCGCCTTCATCTGACTGCCTACTGTGGACCACATCACATAGTTGTACTGAAGTTGTTAAGCAGAGGGCTAACCCCTGAGGACAGATGAAGGATGTGAGAATCCCTGGGCATCCTCCCCACTAGGGAGTAATTGAAAATGCACATGAGCCCTGGTGGATGTGGCTCAGTGGGGCATCGCCCTGTTCAGTTCCAGGTGGGGAACAAGCCCGGGTTGTAGGCTCGATCCCCAGTAAGGGGTGTGCAGGAGCAGGAGACAGCCGATGGTTGTTTCTCTCCTCCTCTCCCTCCCTCTCTAAAATGAAAAAAAAAAAAATTTTAATAAAAAAACCCTGGCCAGTTTGTCTCAGTGGTCAGAGCACTGGCCCTCGAACTGAAGGGTCTCACTCGGGTTCAATTCCCGGTCAAGGCTGTGGGCTCGAGNTAAAAAAAAAAAAAATTTTAATAAAAAAACCCTGGCCAGTTTGTCTCAGTGGTCAGAGCACTGGCCCTCGAACTGAAGGGTCTCACTCGGGTTCAATTCCCGGTCAAGGCTGTGGGCTCGACCCTGGAGACCTGGTCATTCCTCTCTGTCTTTTCCCCTCCCTTCTACTCTCTCTAGAAAATCAAAGGAAAAAATATCTTTGGGTGAGGATTTTAAAAAAAGATGAAAATGCAATAATAGCNGACCCTGGAGACCTGGTCATTCCTCTCTGTCTTTTCCCCCTCCCTTCCACTCTCTCTAGAAAATCAAAGGAAAAAATATCTTTGGGTGAGGATTTTAAAAAAAGATGAAAATGCAATAATAGCAAACCAGCAAATAAATATAAGGAAGTAGAACCAAGTTCTACTTTCTCTCATTACATTTATTTTCGTATTATTTTTAAAATATCAACTCTTAAAATTTTATTACAAAATAGTTCTGGTGACCTAAAATATATAAATAAAGAACTGTTTAAAGAAAACAAATCTCATCATTCAGGTTAAAAAATAAAATATTGCCATTGCTGTTTAAAAAATACATATATACTATTTTTCAAAAAGTTTTGCTTTATTGCTGCCAGGAGCCGCGGGTTCTCAAGTCTTGCTGCACATTAGATTCCCTAAAGCTCAGTCTCCACCCCAAACCAATGAAATGAGAACGCCTGGAAGTGGACATCAGTACTTTTTAAATTTTGGGCGACTCCAACGTGCAGCCAAGGTTGAGAACCCTTCCGGGAGACAGGCTGCTGCCAGGGAAGGGGGCTGGGGCCCTGAGGATGGGGTGGAAATGGGCCTGTTTCCTGTCTTCTCTGGGGGTCAGCACTTCCCCTGGCAGGTTTCTGCGGATCTAGATCTGAAACCCAAGCAACCTCCCCCACATTTTGGGGAGGAGACTGCCATCTGCTGGCCATAAGGAACATGTTTGCAAGGTCCTGTCTCACATGCGATGCACGGTTGCCCCAGGGCAGCTCTGGGAGGGGACAGGCAGGCGGACTAGAGGCACCTTCAACCTGTAGACCCTGCAGGGCTGTGATGAGATGCGGGATTTGTTTGCTGTTCTCTGCCTGGAACAGCCTTTCCTCTCCCAATCCCTTTCATCTGAGCAAAGGTTTGTCCATTTTTCAGCAAAACGCAACCTCACCTCCACCAGGAAGCCCCCTCTGACCTCGTCTCCTACACCCTTCCTCGCCTCCTTACTTGGTTCTGTTTACTTGTTTACTGTTTACTCATGCTCACAAGGGCAAAATCCATGAGGACAGAGACATCACTGCACCCCCAGCACCTACCTCAGTGCAAGAAACAGAGTAGGAAATATTTGTTTACTGAATTTTTTCTTATGGCAAAATCAGACACTGTAATCTGAAAACAAAACAAAAATCCTTTAAACATATTTCCCCACAACAGTGAGGTCTCCCTAGAATTGAAAATAATTACCTCTTTATTTATATACTTCTAACAACTGGGGGGAGCAACAAATGGTCTTATTAACAGTTGTCATATGTTATGAATTAACTCTTTATTCCACCCACCTATGCTCTAGTCAGTAAACAAACATATGGCAGACAGCTTCTGCTTGGGGCCTGTCCAGCCTCCATACCCACTCCTTCATTCATAGGAACACCCTGGCTTTATTTTGGAGAAACAACCCCTTCCATTCTCAGTTTCTGTGACTCAGGACAGCGGAGCCCATCCCCAGGCCCAGGTGTGGGCATGTGATTGTATTCCAACAGCCTGGCACATGATTGGTTCAGGGCTGAGCATGTGACCTGAGTCAGCCTAATTAGATCTAGCCCCGGAGCTTCTGCTGGGATCACTGAGGACTCCAGATCCGGGGGTGCTGAGCTGGTGGGATGTGAGCCTAGTGCTGCTGGCAGCCATTCTGCCACCATGAGGAGGGAGGCGGCCAGAGAGTGAAGCCAAACAAAGGAAAGCAGAGCTGAGAGAAGAGGCAGCGTCTGCGAGACAGGTGTCTTCACACTGGCACCAACCGGAACTTCTCCTGGACCTTTCCATTGCCTGAGCCAATGAAGTCCCCCTCCCAGAAATCAGTTTGAGGGGGTTCCCGTCCCCTGCAGCTAAAGGAGTACTAGCTAAGGCAGAAAGCAGAACAGGGAATGAAAGTTCTTTTTACTGTTTTGTTTCGTGTCTTTTGTTTTTACAAAATCAGTACATCATTTGCAACACTTTTCACACAGACAATTATAATAAGCTTTTACATTATGGTGAAATTACTCAACATGCCAGTTAAAAAGAGACACATAGACATTTGGTCACATGACCTCAAAGGACGCTAGGGCTCTTGGGTTTGGGGGGCCACAGAGTGGCCCATTGCAGGTTTGCTCCCCTAGTCTCCTTTTTCATCCCATCCCCAGCCCAGCGGTCAGGAGGGGGCTCTGCCTCTGCAGGCCTCGAGGCCGCTCCCCAGTGAACCCTGGGCGAGTGAGCCCGGCCACCAGCCTCCGGTTCTCCTCAGCTCTGCGAGTTGGCTGCTGCCAGCAGGGCTGCAAACATGGACCCGGGCTTCTTCTGCAGGACCTCAGGGCTGTCAAACTCCACAACCTGGGAATGGAGAAAGAAGGGACAGGGACACGGCTGAGCTCTGTCTGGAAGGGTCCGAGGCGCCTGCGCACTGGCTCGAGCCCCTGCCCTCCCAGCAGACCGGGAGGTGGCTCTCACCTTGCCTTTGTCCATGACCAGGATGCGGTCACAGCTGAGGATGGTGGTGATGCGGTGAGCATTGAATGACGAGCATGGTGCAGCCCCGGAAGGCTTCGCACATCGTGCGCTGGATCAAGGTGTCTGTCTCCACGTCGGAGGCGGAGGCTTCATCAATGAAGATGATCTGTTGGATACAAAGCAGGGTGGCAGCAGCTCCTTGGGCCCCGAGACCCAGGTCTGATCGTGGGTCAACCACTAACTTACTGAGACCCTTAGCTGGAAACAGAGAACTTTGGACTGAGTTCCAAACCCAGTTGGAGGTCTCTTCACTGGGGACACTATGAATATTAGGTCTCCACCAACAGCTGATTATGTTTTAGTGACCAGAGAATTAAATTCTTGAAAACATCCCAGTGGCACTTCTTGTTGTATGAACCACCTTCCTGTTTGCCTGAGTGGATGTAGAGCAGTGTCCCCACCATGGGGGAGGCACCCCCTCCCCTGGGGGGCTGCCAGACGACACAGCCCGTCTGTCTATGGCTGTCCATTCTTTTTATGCAGCAGTGTCCTGTTTGTTTCGTTAACCACATGCACTAGGAAACTATAACTAGCACAGAAAGTATGAGTTTACGAATGTTTAAGATGAGACTGTCCTTAAAAATAGGGCATTGTGAGCAAACCAGAGGACACGCAAATGTGACAGAAGTCATGTGTGCACATGTGAGTGTGGAGGTGCATGTACACGTGTACACGTGTGTGGAGGTGTATGCACATGTGTGTATGTGTGTGGCCTTGCTTGTGAGAGAAAGCTTGCTCCTAACGAACTCACGTAGCTGAAGCCCTGAAACGACTGGTGAAATTGTTTGGAAACAATTCCAGGTGGACTCTGTCAAACCTACATAACCCCCTGGAACAGCTGAGCTCCGAGTCTCACCTCTAATAAGGACAAGGTAGTATCCGGTGCCCAAGTTTTAAAAAGAATGCACAGTGGGCAACCTTTAAGTTAGTGAGCTTCTGACCTTTTAGCTTCTGGTTCTGGGGGCACCGTTTCCGCTGGGGTGCAGGGTGTGGGGCTGAGGGCCCAGCCCCCCGGCCCTGCTCACCTTGGAGCTGCGCAGCAGGGCCCGCGCCACGCAGAGCAGCTGCCTCTCCCCCACCGAGAAGTTCTGGCCATTCTCCTCCACTTTCGCCTGCAGCCTCTGCGGTAACTTTGAGATCTGTCACGTCGGGGCAGACAAGAGAGGCCGCGCGGGCCTGGGGGTGAGGCCTAGCGCGGCCCTCACAGGGCTCCTGTCCGTTTCGTACCTCCCCCTCTCCGCGCCAGCTGTGGCTCTCTCCTTCCCCACCTGCCCCCCCGCAGCTGGCCTCAGCTCCAGCCTCCCGTCCTCAGAGAGGCCTTGCCTGGCCAGCCACCGGAGGGGGCTGCTCCCTACCCCAGTGCTGCAGCCTGGCGGCCACCTCACAGCACTTACCACCCCCAGAGTGTCTGTGCTCACCGGCCGGGTGCCTTATGGCCCAGGGAATGCAAAGGCCCAGGAGGAGAGGCCGGCCTGGCCTCTCCTCTGCTGCCTAGAGTGGGCCTGCTCACTGCTGATGTCTGGGTGTCACCAGCCTTTGTTGAGGAACCCCAGACCATCCCATCCCCAAGACGGTTTCGTCCGTGGCCAGAGCAGCACCACTGGACACATGTAGGAGGCACCCCTGTGGAAGAGGCAGCTAAGCCTGAGAATTAGGCTACTTACTGTCTTGCTCAGGAATGTCCTCTCCAAGACGTCCCAGATCTGCTCGTCTGTGTGGCGGTCAAAGGGATCTAGGTTTAATCTGCCCACGAGAGGAAGAGACGTGTTCAGTAACCACCCCGAGCGCGGAGCAGTCTGTCCTGCACACAGTGAACAGCCAAGAATGGTTAGAGGTAGATCCTGGGCTGAAAGAAACCCACAGAACTACCGTGAGTGGGGTTTCCTGTGCCGGTCGGTATCCATCCTTTCTGCAGGCAGAAGCCCCAGGAATTTTGTTTGAGGGCCACCTGTCCCTGAGCCCCCAAGCCCAAGTGGTCCAGGTGGAGCTCTCCCACCAGCTCCAGGGGTGGAGCACGTGACTCAGGTGTAAGCAACTTAGCACACGGCCCCGCCCCCTCCGCTCTGACCGCCCCCACTAGAGGGATCAATGGAGGAGGTGGAAGGGCACCGCCCAGAGTGTGCCTCAGGGTGGTCAAGGCAATCACTGGGAAAGAGGGTCACTCTTTCTCCCACTGACCACGGGAGGAGGCTACAACCATCCTGCACCAGGAGGGACACATGGAGTCCCCGAGGGCCCTCACTGGAGCCTAGAAATAAACCAAAGCAGAGTTAGGGGGACACTGGCCCTGGAACCAGCCTCTGCCTCCCCAGGATCATGAGCCAAAAGAAAACTTTGTAGCTTAAGCCATTTTCAGTGTGCATGTGCACTAAAATATACATAACATATTTATCATCTTAACCATTTGTAAGAATACAATTCAGTGGCATTAAACACATTCACGATGTTGTGTAACCGTCCACTAAAACTCACCATCCCCCACAAACACTCTACCCATCAAACAATCT